GCAATATAAAACATCTGGTGTGTCCAGTCACACGCCTTTTCTACCTATTTCAAAATAGCAGGGAATTTCATTATCTTTCAAAAAACAGGCTATACGTCGTTATTTTCGGTCCGAAGAGGCTCTGAAACGTATAGATCAGTTGAAACCCGACTGGAATACTTTCCTTACCTAGGAAAGTAATAATTTAAAACATGTGTGAAAAATAGAATAAGCTGTATCATCTCTAATACTAATTCGATTCCGATGAGGTTTCTTTTGTTTTGTTGGTAATTTAATTACCTTTCAAAAGTTATATTATAAATTTTACTGTATAATATATACTTAGGGAGTTAGGCCCCATAACATTTTTCCTTTCTCTATAATTTTTTTTCTGAATTTTCTCGGGAATTTAGTTCATATACGAAAATTGAAAGGACAATTATTAAAACATTATATGAAAGTTTCATCAAAATCGTTGCCACTTTCGCCCTACAGACTATAGAAAAACATGTTTTTCATTTATTGCGCGCAAGCTATTGCGCATGGAGCACAAAATTTCTATCACAGGCATCATAAATCAAAATCCTACAAAATAAAAAAGAAGCAACAAAATCGGTTCAGATTCAGACAGACAAACAGATAGACCAATGGCTAAAAATGTTTTTGCAAGGCAACATGTCTGATTTAACTGGGCTGTTATTCGTTCTGGTATATTATTTTGAATGAAACCTTCTGATCGACCAAGAAAATTAACCCCTCCTTCATATTATGCATTGTATTTAATTTTATCTATATTAAATTATAATTTGTTTACAGACCAATTTACTATGGAAATAATTCGCAAAGACCGACATGTTTATAAAGAATCAAAAGAAATATAACGCCTTCATTCTGGCAGATGCCTCCAGCACTGCCTCAGTGATATGAGTTACATCTGTTGGAAAAATATGAATAACGATCTAAATATTGATATTATAATGAAAATGTATTTTTCACTTACCAATATATATCATACCATGTTAATTATTCGTCTGGGCCATCCAGTTTATTTATTTATTTTTTAAAATTATAAACCGACATAACGATGAGCAAGATGGGCATCAAATGTCAAATTTAACTAACTGAAATTAAATAAGTTAAAAAAAAAACAACGATGTGTGCTTTACACCACATGAAAGAAGCGAAAACAGCAAGGAGAGATTAATAATACGGAATATAAATTATTTGTTGTTCTATATTCACAAAGTAATAACATTAACAATAATTACAATTATAATTGTGTATAAATTACTGTAGTAAACTTTGCTCTGACTGATCTTCATTTGTATAATAATCTAAAAATGAACATGTTTATGATAACTAAAATATGTGATGAATACTTTTGATTGAAATCTATTTGGTTAATATATTACCTTTAAATCCCGCCTATTAAATCACTCCCTATCTATCCCATTTTCAAACAATTGTAAATATTTATTTCTGGAAATATGTATATAAATTATTTATTTCTTTTTAAATATATTTTGGTTTATTATTTTCAATAATTAAACATTGTGATCGACGAAAAAATTCAAAAACTTAACCCCCTCTCAAAATTTGAGGTTTCACGTTTCAGGATGCGTAGAATTCGAAAAACGAATAAAACTTATTTGTCCATCCGCCGTCCGTCTTCCGCGCATTTCCTCCTAAATTACTAGACCGATTTTTTTTTCAAATTTGGATATAAAATCAGAGGTCACCCGAGGATGATTCTCCTTCATCGACATTATTATCCGCCTTATGCTTTCAAAATGGCGGCCGAAAAACCTGTGTTGGTATAGACTGTAGCTCCTAAACGAATGTACCGATTTCAATGAAACTTCGCTAAAGTCATTTTCTCTACGCCCTTTAAATTTATCTATGTAACATATTTCAACGTAAAGAAGCTGGAAAACAAGTTACGAGGCATGGTAAAATTTAATTCCGAATAACTCAAAAAGTATACTCTTTTTTGGCGATGTTGTATGTGGTTTTTTAAAAGTTTACGAAATTTTCTGAAAAAAAAAAAAAAATCGTTAAAATCGGACAATTAGGAGCAAAGATATGGTCTCCGGTTTTTTTAAATATGTTATACTCCAAATGTTATATCCTTTGATTGGTTTTTAAATTTAGAATGTGTTACTGAAGTAATGCAATTTTTTTTAGCATATTACTAATGATTAAAAGAAAAAAAAGTTAAGTCCAATAATTGGAATCACCTTTTATTTATTTTTTTTTTATAACTAGAAGTTAATGTTACCTTAGATGTATAATTGTTTTGAAATAATAAACCATTGTGAAATAATTTGTAGCGTTTTTTATTTCTATTTGCGTATTTCATTTTATATGTATAAAACTATGAGGCTCTAAAGCACACAATTATATTACTTTGTATTGTACTAAAGGGGCTTGTTCCAGAATTAATAAAGCATATTATTAACCTCCTTCATTTTTTATATATAACTTCTGTAACAGGATTCAGTATAATGTCGAAATTACATCAAATGCAATAGAAAATCAAATAGAAACACACAATTTCTTATTTTTATGGCTAATTAAAAAAAATATCTATATTGACTTCCGCAAATTGGTTTCAGAAATCTCCATGGTATTTAAATTTTGAGGTAATTTAGTCCAAATGTTCTAAACATTCGTTATTATTATTTTTCCCTTTCCGACTCTCAGCGTCACGTCAAAATACTTTTTGACTTGTAGCTCATTACAGAGGAGGAAATTCTGAAAATTTACCTCAATTATATTATGCAGGACCGATTTTTAGTTTCTAGGATATTTAGATGCGTATGTTCAACAAAACTTATTATCATTTGGTTTTCGACACTATTTTTCTCTTGGTGCCTCTCTTAACACGACGTCGCATTAAGATACAGTTTTTAATAATAAATAATTACGAAGAAGATGAAATGATGAACATTTTCCTCACTTACAGTATGGAGATCTAATTTTTAATTTCTGAGATATTTTAATCCATATAAAAAAAAAAAACTTCAATCATAATTTTTTTTTTAATATAATTTGAAATGAACCCAAAGTTTTCCCCTCATAAACCTTATCATACTTAATTATTATAGACTTAAAGATTAGTAAACAAGGAACTTTTTATAAAATTGGGGTATCTGTTGTATAGTTAAAGAATGATAAGAAAAGTAACGAATAATTTATGATTTTTTTTTATTATTGAAATTTACAACTGTATTAAATGATAAATACAACAAGTAAATATGAAACAAATAACATGACATGAAGAGAAACTACCCATTGGTAGAATTCCAATTATATTTTTATATTAGAAGGTCCCGAGAACATCTTTTCAGACGTCTCTGAGGATTAGAAGAGGAAGCAAGGTTGGAAACAAGAGTGTTCGGATGGTTCAGAAGTTTATTATGGAAAGATAGGTATCTGGATTGAGCTAAATCGGAAACATATTGTACATTAAGGTCGTTATGGATGATTTTATTTGTGACAAAGTAGGGAGCATTGAGGATTTTACGAAGGATTTTGGATTGTAAGGAGGATACGATAAACTATAAAACTAAATACGACAACGTTAATGAAAGCCGGTAAAGAACTAGGACTCAAAATAAACGTGGATAAAACAAAATATATGGTTAGCTGCAAAAATGGCGATACTACTGGTGATAGCGATATAGATGGTAATATGTTTGAACAGGTAGATACATTTAGGTATCTAGGTTCTACGATAACTAGAAAAAAACGAAATTGAAGAAAAAATTAAGGTTAGACTGAAGGCGGGAAATGCTTGTTATTTTTCTGTAACAAAACTACTTAGTTCGCGCCTCTTGTCCCGGAACTTAAAAATTAGAATCTATAAAACAATTATCTTGCCTACAGTTCTTTATGGATGCGAAACGTGGCCGCTTACATCAAGGGATGAGCAGCGTCTTAAGGTTTTTGAAAATAAAGTATTGCGCAGAATATTCGGACCGAAGAAGGATGAGTTAACCGGAGAGTTCAGACGGTTACACAACGCCGAATTGCGTGAACTGTATCCGGGTAATATAATTGAGGCAATTTCATCGTGGCGAATCAAATGGGCTTGTAAAGTTGTTGGATTTAGTAACGAGATAATTCCTAAAAGGTTAATATTTGCTGTGCCGAAAGGTAAGCGTCCGAGGGGTAGACCGAAGCGAAGGTGGGAAGATTGCATTAAAGCCGATCTGAAGGGACTGGGTTTGGACGGCGAACGGTGGAGGTAGGTTTGTAATAAGCGATTGGTGGTGTCGGTATCGAACCTCCGGGTTCGCTAAGCCTTTTTATTATTATTATTAAGTAGGATACGAGAGGAATTTGATGGTTTAGCAGAGCCCCAAAGCTGCAATGAATCTTTTGTAAATAGTTGGAACTTTAGAGCGTTTGTCTAGTAAGTGCTACAGTAGTCGGGCGGTTTCTAGTCGTTTCAGTCTGGTATGATGGTTCCTTATGATTTTTTAAAAACAGAACTTAGCTCAGCCTCTCCAAAGTACTACTTAAATGATTTTAAGAATAACAAACTTTAATTTCAATTCTAATAAATTTTGTTTAGTTCACTGCGAATTGGTAATTACTTAAACGAAATATTTAGGTTGTTAAGACTCAAGTTGAAAGAAAATGTATATTTATGAGTTTTTAGTACCTAATTAATTAATTTAAAGAGAAAACTGTTATTGAATATTTTCATAAATAACAAAATTTTAGTTTACAATAAGATGAGGCCATTTACAAAGTTTTAAATATCACGGACTATATAAGTATGTGTCACTTTTTTTCCGCGTCATTCGCGTTTGTAACGTCTATTCTCTCTTTCCCTAGTTATTTCCTGTTTAGCTAGACAAATATTCCTCTATTTAGGTCAATTTGAGCTCATGTTTTCTGCTATGATATAAGACATAACTTGGGATACGGAGGCTGTGCTGCGCGTGCGCATTGGCGAGGCGGGAGAACTATCGCTGGGCGGTTCAGTTTACCGCGAACTCTCCTCTGTGTTTCTCCTCTCGTCTTAGCCAGTTTGTCGTCATGTTTCGTTACGAAGTAAAGTTTGTGTTTATATTCAGTATATGGGGTAAGTCTGCATGTTCAATTATTATTAGTATATTATTATGATTAATACCATATTTAAAAAAAAAATTAATAAAAAAAAATTTGAATTACTTTAACAATTTCGAAAATTTATCAAATTTACCAAAGTCTAATCAATGCAGATATTGGTTAAATGATATCTTCATACAGTTTTTAAAAACAATATGAATGTATGTCAATGAAATTCTACATACATTTCAACAAAAATAACATTCATCGATAGTTTTCAAAATAAATTTTACGGGCATTTAATAGTAATTTGTCGCGCCTAAAATTCCCTAGTCTCTGGCCATATCTAATTGAGTCAATTTATCCTCAAATTGCGTTAAGTTGGGAATTTTTAAACTCTTGGACCTTTGGTAAAATTCCATAACTCTAGATTCCAAAAGTTTTTTTATTTTTTTATTACGATGTGAATTTTTTGGTATCTCATGAAAAGATTCGAATTTTCTCTAATTTGGTTAATTTTTTTATTTTTAATTTTTTTTTTAATGTTTGACTTTACTAGTTATGGTTGGAGAACATAGAATTTTAAACCTTCGATCACCATCGTTCACTATCTATCACCATTAGGAATACTTAGTTTTGAATGTTTTCAATTTCTACGATATAAATATACGCTTAATACATGCACTTATTACTTCTGAATATGTTACTTAACATTAATATATCTACTTATACTTAATCAAATCAATTATTTCGAAAATTTATCAAATCATATTTACGAAGAGAATCTATGCCGATACTACTTAAATGTTATCTTCGTACTTTTAGAAAAATGAAAAATAATTAATTAAAAAATCACTGCATTAGCTACAACACAGTTCCACTAAAAACATTCATGGATCATTTTCAAATGGGTATTTAATAGTAGTTTATCGTATTAAATTTAGCGGGGAAAATTTAACATTTGATTATTGTAATATCTTCTAGCAACATAATAAACATAAATGATATTCATATCAGTTTTTCTATTTTCAATCTGTACGATATAAAATGCGCTAAATTTTACCCACTGCGTGACGTTCATGAGTTATTGAACTTATGAAAATTTTCAATTGATATCACATGGTTCTCTCACAGATCTATATTTACGAAAAAAAAAACAATAATAATAATATTATGAATTATTAAAAATAAATTACAATTATAGTGAAAAAGTCGTTTTACTGCCTGGATTTGTTAAAATAAATATTCAAATATAATTATTTGTAACAGTTTATAGAGTTCAATATATTTATTTATTAAATTATTTAGCTATAGCTTACTCTACTAATACAATAAACATTCTTCACTTATAAGCTGTGGTTGTTAATTCTATTTCTTTTAAGTACTTATTAATTTGTTTTGATGTCTTTTAAACACTTTTTAATTCAATTATGAAAATATGTGTTCTGTTCAATTACTCTTGCTATGTGTTCGATATTGATTTTATTGTTTCTTCTAACCTTAATATATGTTTACATTTTACTAATTTATATATATATATATATATATATATATATATATATATATATATATATATATATATATATATATATATACGAAAAATATATTGTTTCTAATGGGCTAAGTTATACGGCTACTATAGAAATGAACATTCCTTTGTGAATCATGGACTGAAACTCGAAAATTGAATTAGCATCTGTGAAAATTCCAAACTTTCAATTGTGTTTTTTAATAAATATGATTTTTACACTTACATAGGTACCTCAGATATATTGATATGGTTTACATATTAATAACTTATTAAAAGTAATAAAATATACCAAAAATAATAATTCTATTAAGAAAAACATTAATAAGAGTTTTTTCATCAAGAAATTACGTAGAAATTAACATTTATTTTTGTAATTTATAAGTAAAAGTTTTAACTATCGAATTTTAATCAATTGATCTGAAAATGATTTTTATATCATGTTTTAAAGTCCCAAGAACTTGCTAACTTACAAATATATTACTTTCCGTAAACTTATTTTAAAAATAAAAGTATGCAAACTGTCTCTATCGAAAAGCTACAAAATTAAAAAGGATTAAAAATGAACTTCATCGATCAAGTCGTTTGAATTTTGCGTAGGCGAAAATCAATGAGGAAGTGCATCGGTGCTATAAGGGGTTTTAAATAGTAACTTAAATAGTTATTTGTATACTTTATTATATGTCGGGATTATTTTCCAGTTATAAATTAATTATTATAATTCCAATATAATAGACATAATTATATATTTTTTTTTAAATGTAAGAAGTTTTCTTTGAGAATTTGAGTTTTCTAGATATGTTGACGAAAGTCCTAAATTTTTTTATAACAATTTTGAAAATCATATACGTAACACATTGATGCTTCAAATAAAGTAATTAATAATGTGTCATTATATTTTTTGACGCCATTTCTCAACCTACTCAAACAAAAAATGTAAATTAATTAATATTAACAAGCCTAGATGAAATTGGTGTAAATAAATTAACCTTTGTGTTAAAGTAACGAATTTTAACCTGCTCAAGTTGTAAATTCGTTACTTTAATCCGTTGCCGATGATATGTTGACTTCCACATCTTGAAAATAATTTTTATGAAAAAAATGTGATAAAAGAAAAGTTAAATTAGTAATAGAAGAAATCTATTTTCAAATTTTATACACGTAACTCAAAAACATTCAAATGCTTAAATAAGGTTTTTAATAAATAAATTGATATTTACTTGCATAGATATTATTGGGTTGGTAAATAAGTACTCTCGGTTTTTCAAGGTAAAATAAAACTCAATGTATTCTAGACATAAAATTTATTTTATTCTACAATATATTGATTATTATTTAATATGATTTTTCCCATCTTTCCCCTAACTGCATAATGCCATGTTCATAGAATGTCTGGAGTTTATTGTTAAAAAATTGATCCAAGTGGTTTTTGATGTCCTCTTCCTTTTGGAATTTCGTTCCATTCATGGAGTTCTGAAGAGACCGGAATAAGTGGTAGTCACTTGGAGCTAGGTCTAGTGAATATTGAGGGTGGGGCAAACGATTCCACCCAAGGCTCAATAATTTATTGCGAGTGACCAATGAGGTGTGGGGCCTAGCATTGTCTTAGTGAAACATAACACTCTTCCGATCATTTATAACTCTTCAGGATGTTCTCCGAATTCGGTGTTACTATATCCGTTGGAAAGCTGAATTATTGCTCTACAAAGCCGTATGAATGCCTATATAAGAAATAAATAAACAAAAATTCCTTATAGATTTTTATTTTTTAAATCCATTTTTATTTTGTTTACGAAAGTCCTGTTGATGTCATCTTGTGTAGTTTATGTAGCCCTAAATTCCTACTAAATTTCTTGTAGATAGCTAAAATAAAACATTTTTATGATTTTCGAAAAAAAAAAATCATGTGAGGGACCTAAACATTAAGCTTGTGCAAATAGTTTCAATCTCTCGCACTGATTGGGTGGGATTTTGATTAACAATGACCTTAAAATTGCTTGTTTCAATTTTAATGAGGGCGAGCAGAACGTTGAGCATCATTGATGTCAAAATTTCCTTATTTTTTAAAGTGGTACAACAAAATATACCGATAATAAATGATATTTTCTTCCATATTCACAGTGCAATAGCAAACACAAACTTGTTTCAACAAGAGTTAACAGATATAGTTGTTGACATATTACAAAAAGGATAGACAATCCACCTTAGGGATTAATTCATCAAATAAAAATTGTATCATTGTGACATAAAGATAAACAGAAAAACCGAAAGGAGTTATTTGCCAACCCAATACATTACATATTAAATACACTTTACAGACACGGCTGTCGTGCCATACCAGCGCCTGGCACGTACCATTGGATATCTTATATCTTTAATATTTAAATAGTGCAGTCATCTTCAGAACTGCAATACAAGAAATATTTTTCCATTTTTTCGCTCATCCTGCCGTCTTTGAATACAAATTTAGTTTAAAATAGAGTTCATTAGCTTCTACAAATGGATGTTCATGTATTAGTGTTAAGAAATACTTGATAATATTATGTTTGATAGCGATATACATCACTAATATGGACTCAGGCTCCACCCCATCTCCTTATACTGATATTTCAAATGTTTAGCTAAATATAATATATAGGGTAGGGGGTAGGCGAAAAGAAAAAATAAGCTTCTGACGTCCACATAAATACGTGGAATTCGCCCACCTAACATTTAGAAGGAAATCGATCTATGACCTTACGAGTGTATTTAAGGACCCAAGTCAATTCGTTATTTCCTTGGTGGAAAATCGATACATCGATTGGATAAGACAATAGGTTTATAGGACATGGTCCAATTGGGAATAGATGAAGGAAGTTAGTGAAGAGAATGTGCGATGGAGTGAGATGGCAATTCGATGATTCGCAACTACCTCATAAGATTGCTTGGTATCTGCCTATCATTCATTGATTTAACCTTGCTCTGAATCTTCTCATAGTTGTGAATGAATTTTCATTCAATTCTTGAATGGTTTGATATATCATTAATAAGTATTTATAATAATAATGGTTTTATTATACCATATAAGAAAAAAAAAAGATATTACAGAATTAGACAAAAGCTTTTATTTTTAAATCAGTTACAATATGACTTTTTTTAAAAAAATAATAAAGCTTCATTTTTTTTTCATATACATTACATCATGTCATACATGACATACTAGTGGTTTGAATGCTATTTAGAAAATTGAAATCCATTTTTTACCGTAGGAAAAACCATATAAAAAACCAACATACGATATGTACAATATGACTGAAATTTTCAATGTTTTTCTGTTTTCTCAGAACAAGAACTTTTTCATTAAGAATTTTATAGAAATTTTATTTGTTTTTTAAAATTATTTTAAAGTATGCTTTTTCTTTGATCTGGTAAAATGAATTGCGTATTCATCACCAAATCAAAAAAAACAAAACTGCATCAAGTCTTGGATTAAGTAGATTATAAAGAAGCATTAGTTAATTCAAGAGAAGGGGGATTTCGGACTAAAACTCTTCCAAATAGAAAATTCATTTTTTTATTCGTCCATAATTATTTTTATTGGTGACGAAAACGTTAAACATTTTTTTTATCTGCACCTTTTTTTTATCTGCAACCTTCTTTTGACGAACTGTTAACAATCTGCAGATGGTCTGATAAAAATAAAAAAAACTGACTTGTCAAACATAAGGAATGCAGTTATTTTACTATTTCCCATCGATGGATATAATTAATTCTATTTTTCATATAAATAGGATTAAAGAAACAAAAAGTGTTTGTATCCTTAAGAACAATAAAGTCATATAAAAAGAAATGCTTCGTTTGTCTGCAGTGAAAATTAAAAAAATCTATTTCTCTGAGATATTAAATTTTTATTATTATTTGTCTTTGAAATGAAAACTTCTGTAGACGCGATTGTAATCAGAAGTACTTTATCCCTGGCTTGGTTCAATTGCTATGGTTTGTTAAGGAAGGAGGTCTCTCATCCAGTGCATTTTTAGTCGTCTTCTCGTATCGATGAGCACGTCAGCTGAAGCCATATTTCCTAATGGTATGCTAGCTTGTCTGTGTAAATTAGTATGAAATCTTTTGTGAACAGTTCTTATGAGTTGATAAACTGTAGGCAGATTTATACCAGTATGTAAGGTTTTGTTAGTCACGTACCAAGGTGCTTTAAATATAAGTCTTAATATTTTTTATTGTAAAGTTTGAAATTTTGTAAGAGGGTCTTTTTAGTTATACCGTATATATTTTTATGAGAATGTCCATCATACAAGTTAAGTATAGTATTATATTTAGTTTCTGTCTCTGTTGTAGTTTAGAAGTTTTCAAAAAAAGTGAATAAAGTAGTTTGAGTTGCCTATTGAGGGTCTGCGGTTTCATTTTAATCCATGTCATCCTTTTGTCAAGGGTAATTCCAAGATAGTTTACGATGTCTCCTCTTTTTAAATTACAACGTTTGTGTATATGTATATATTTCATTTAATCAAAACTATTGAAATGGGACATTTTAATATATATATATATATTTAAAACTTTGATGAGGATCCCATCGTTAACTTATAAAAAGAAAAATACCGGGATCGAAACGTCAATAATCATAGAGGAAATGAACATTCAGTAGTTTATTAAATAATTAATAAGTGAGCTTATTCCCAATTAAATGGTTATGTTTAAATATATATATATATATATATATATATATATATATATATATATATATATATATATATATATATATATTTTACTATTTCCTGTCGATGGATATAATTTATTCCATTTTTCATATAAGTAGGATTAAAGAAACAAAAAGTGTTTGTAACCCTTAAAACGATAAAACTATATAAAAAGAAATGTTTCGTTTACCTGTAATGAAAATTAAAAAAATCTATTTCTCTGAAATAGTAAATTGTTATTATTATTTATTTTTTGGAATGAAAACTCCGTTTTGCACTTTTTTGTATAGAGTGAATTAGATTGATCCGTCAGATTTCCGAAGTGTTAACGCTCGGGTAAAGTCGGCTAATTGAAATGTTTATACATATGGATTAAAATATCTCAGACAATAAAAATTGGTTCTGCATACTGTATACGGGGAAAATGTTCAGTATTTCATCCTCTCTGTAATAGGCTATAATTCAAAATTGTATCTTAACCTGACGCAGTGTTATGGAGGCGAAAAGGAAAAAATAGTGTCGAAAACCAAATGATAAGGTTAGTTGAACGTATGGATTAAAATATTTCAGAAAATAAAAATCGGACCTGTATACTGTAAGCGAGGGAAATGTTCAGCATTTCATGTTCTTTGTAATGAGCTATTATTTATAATTTATATTTCATATTATTAATTTCGCCTTGTTGATGTTTTCACTAATATCGTGTGATCTGAAGCACACACCTTAGTTTTTTGTTATAATAATGAAAAAAAAATTAACATTAATTTTTATTATGCGAACTCTAAAATTAAATATAAATAAAACCCACTTAAAATGATATAGAGCTGTTTTATGAAGATACATTGGACAAGATATGAAAAGCTATCTTGAAATAATTTTCTAAGAGGATTTTCATTTTAATTAACTCGTAGCAAGCTCATCTTCACTACCTCGAAAATCTTACAGCTGAGGGTGAAAAATGTTCTCTACCTTTTATTATTTCATTTTCCCTCTCTTAGCTTGGCGGGAAGTTGAACTCTCTCTCTTCCCCTCTCTCTCACTCTCTCTCTCTCGTTCTTAGTAAACTCTTAAATTATTGACTAAAACTTTTTGAATTGTTAATTAATTTGCCTAACTTTATATTTGTATTTAAACACAGCCTATCTTAATAAATAATTACCGCTGTATTATTTTTGGAGTTAGAATTAAATTGTTACAGGTAACTTGGATTAATTTTTCATGCTGTTTTGTAAATTGATCTCCTGTGTACCTTGAAATCTGTTATTTCAAATTGAAATGTTCTGTGACGAATCAGCACATGGTTATTACTTTCACTTATGTATATATGCAATATATAGTAAGGGTAAGTTTTACGATCGTGACAATTTTTGAATCTGAGTTTTCAACGGAAATACATGTTTTGAGGTCTCGAGTCCAAAGAACCAAGTCCCGCAAAATGGTCTGTGTGTGTTATCAGTCTAGCTCAATAACGAGGTATAAGACATTTCGTAATATACCTTTTACATGTATATATATATATATATAATACATTTACAATTCATTGTAATTGTCTCAAGGAGTCTGCTTATGCACCTAAAGCTCCTAGGTTTGAAAGAAATAAACACGAGTCAGTTAATAAATTTAATATTTCTAAATTTCTTTCGATTTTTGTTAATTTTACTCGGAATTTCAAGATATCTCTTCTATTCTTCGATAATTCTTTAACACACTTATTAATATTATTATTAAATTAATATGGATATTGTCGCTTTCCCATATGACTATAATAAGTAATGCTCGGAGTGTCGTCGAAATTTAACAATATTCATTATTGAAAATCAAACACTTTTTTCTACTATTTTACATTTGTTCATTGTATATCTGAGAACATACATGTTCTTTTTAAGTTATTTGCAAATAAAATTTTGAATATATCATAACTTTTTTTCAGCCACTTTTCGGGGAAGTATGTGATAAAGATAAATTAAAAAGTATTCTAGGAAAAGACTTTAGTCATGTTGCTGCATCTATATATGTTTTTCGACCGCTATTTCTAAAAGGAAAAGCCGGATGGTAATGGAATGTATATAAATAAAAAAACCGAATTTGATTGCAACATTGTATTAAAATTTCAAAGCGATCCGTGAAATACACTCGGTTTCAAACTAACGAACATGTTTATTTACAATGTTTTTTTATTCATAAAACTAAAGCTCGCCAGTAGCTACTAAACAAAAAAAAAAAAAAAAAAAAAAAAAAAAGAAAATCCATTGACAAACAGAGGTGAAAAAGTTACTGATCTTTTTTGTCTTTATTTATTGATGTAACAATTTCAGATTAAAATAAATTATTACTGAAAATGAAAAGTAGTTGTGGACACGCTCTATGAATCACTTTTTCCTCCCCTCCCACCTCTCCTACCCTTTTCATTCATTTCAACTTTTTCTCTCGAAACGACCGTTGGAAATTCAATTACCGTGCTCATGAATGAAGACGAAACAAAAATGTTTCAACGAAACGGGCACAATGATGAATTCGCCTCCTTCGATGACAAAGGTCGTCCGGGACAAGGCCAATCGAACATGACTAGTTCATTATCTATCAACCGGCCAATGAGGGCTCTCGATTCAGTCCAAATCAAGAGCCGATGGACCAATGAGAGAACGGTTCTCTTTTGTCCCCGCGTTTTTTTTCTTTTGTTTTTGTCATCGCTCCAATTCTTTTGTTTTTCGCCAACAGTTGCCGATTTAACGCTCCGCGGGAGGATGGGCCATGTCATCCCAGGACGGAACAGTTTGCACTGGTTAGCCACTGGAACCAATCTTTGTCTTAGGAGAGGCTGCTTCTGTTTTGTCTTCGCTTCGCTGAGCACGAGGCCTTGATAAGCAATATTGAAGAAACTAATCTGGTGCGCGCGCGCAACATACATATTTCACTTACTCTCCTACTCTGCAGGACTTGAATTTTAACCATGTCTAAAAATATTATAGTCCGTAGTACAGACCCATATTTAAGAAATTATTAGCATCCACCTGAAACTTCGTGAATAGCTTCATCTCACCGTAACCTACAACTATTTTATTTAAGACTAGAAGGCCCGAGCGAAAAATTCGCACAGCATATTATCATCTAATGCCAAATTAAAAATAAAATAAAATAAAATAATGCAAGGTATCAAAAGATAAAGAAATCAAATGTTACTTTATCGATAAATATAATCGACAAAGAAAACAAAAATTAATTTAAATCTTCATTTTTTTTTGGAACCAACATGTTCACAAATTTCAGTAAGCTGTAACTTTGTTAAAAATAGTTCGATTTCGATAATTTTTTTCCCCTTTTGTAGGGAATTTAGTAATCTTTTATATGATAATGGGCATAAAGAATAAAGTTTGTTTTCTTTCATTACTTGTTTGCCTGAATTTTCGGGGTGATTGGACTAATTTGCCCGCCTGAATGAGAAGGAAACCTTCGAAATTGGTGGCTTAATCTTGAGATTCGGTGAAAAATTAACGATAATATGGCATGCCAATCAAAAACACCATCGATAATTTTTATCAATGCCCTTTTTACACCACAAGATTAAAAGATTTTGGAATACCCCAGAATATATCAGCATCCCTGGGAAATCAAGAAGAAATAATTACCAAAGTCATCAAGTTTCTAGATAGTGAAAGACTTAAAAAACACATTTGACAGGCTTTTTTTATTTATTTTTTTATTTATTAATTTCCTTTTTATCTATTTATTTTTATTATATTTTCTCTTATTATTACTATTTTTTATTTATTTTTTTTTTCACTTGATTTCATTTCATTTTAAATTCATTTGTTTATTAATCTCAATTCATTTATTGATTCTACTGCTATTTTTTAAAGTTTATTTATTTATACATTTTTTATACATCTTATTACCTATAAATGTCTATTATTATCCTTAATTATTTATTTTATTCTATCAATCCATTTCTTTATTTATTTTATTTTATTTCTTTTTTTTTATTTTTATTTTTTATTTATTTATTTTTTTGTACCAACCATCCAAATAGTATTAAATGCTATTATTTAGTTGATCGGGCGCTTATGACCTGGATGTTTTGCGCCTAGACATCGAAACAAACAAACCATCGATAAATAATATAAACTCCTCCTCTCTCGATCATAGAGGCCTTAAGTCGACGAAATGAGACATGTATTCAATGACAGTACTACAATTAATGTAAGCTTGTGTGGATGCGAACCCTATGCCTTGCGTTATCTCGAAAATAGTACGTTTTTGGGCTTAAAAACGCATGCTCCGATAGTTCCGGGTGAACTATAAGGGTCTAGCTGTACGCATCAAAGTCTTCAAGATCCAATTTGTCCCGTATCCATCTACAGACCTACCACCGTTCCAGTATTGAAGTCTAGCAAAATGTTTGTACCGGCTATATTTATTTTAGAATGAAAAACAAAAGTGGAGAATACGATTCGCTAACCCTCTGTGAAATTCTGAATCCAACGGTACCCCATTCATGGTATTTGAGCATGACAGGAGCTTATATTTGGTACAAAACCGATTTCGAGCCTTACTATAATAATATATGTGGGGATGGGAAGGAGTTGATCGGGGGGGGGGGGTGCGGTCAAATAAATACTAAATTAAACAAATAGTATTATTTAATTTTTGCCGACGTTTCAGGGCTACAAAAGATAAAAAATATGGTGAAAATAAATGAATATAAGTAGATATAAAATAAGAAAAAGTTGTCTGATAAAGAAATAAAAAGATGATATCAGAGATATAAGTTAAAATATCAAGTATTATATATGTAGAAGATACAAACAAAAATGGAATATAAGTATGAATAAAAATAGAAAATAAAGGAGAATATAGCATGCAAGTTAAAATTAAACAATATAAAAGATAAGAAATGAGTGTATAACAAACTAATAAAGATAACATTTGATAACTGTAGGTTAACAGATAAATAAAATGAATGTTAACGAATAAAGAGATTGAAAATTGCATAAGTATTGATATAGCAAAGCTAAAATAAGAATAAGATAACATAATAAGAAGATATCAGTAGATAACAAGCTAGTGAAGGTTACATTTGATAACATTATTTTATTTAAGAAAACTCTTGGAATTGAGGCGTTTTCGAACTCGAGACATGCAAACTTTGTCTATTTAATTAGGTACTAAAAACTTCCTTTCCACTTGGATCGTGACATAATTTGATCACAAATCGAGAAAAAAGCGTTTCTATAAAAATATTGGGCCGTTTGTCCTATGTAACCCCGTTATTTTGAAATATCGGGTTTGTAGGTCACGCCTACAACTTCGATATTATATATTTTCCAACTAGAAAAATCACTAAAATGACTTTAATCAAAAATGTTGAAATTGGAGTTAGTCATTCTGTCAACTGAAATTCTCTTCTACAACAAAATATCCTAAGATTTTATGATTAATTCATCTACACCCTTCCATTTTTACTTGAAGATTTTATTACTTACCCCACGGTAAATTTGAAGTTTCGTAGAATTGAGAGTTCATTTCATTGACTCACACATTTAAACAAACATATGTAATATATTCAGTTACTTTATATTGTAATTTTCAAATATAACCATAAACAAAAAAAAAAATATATATATAAACATATATATATTTAGTGTTAAATAATTAATTTTACGATAGTTATATTGGTTATTTTGATCACTAATAATTTGTATACATAATATAAACTCTCCAGATTTTTTTTTGGAAGTCCATCGCCCCCCCCGATCAGAATGGAAAATCTGCATATTCAGCATATGCACAAAATATAATTATTTCAATTATAATAATGAATATTTTAACAGCTCTAGGATCTCTGAATGGGGAACGTACTATCATCAAATTTAAGTGAAAAAAAAATTGATTAATAACAAATTTAAAAAAAATAACATGGACCAATCTTACCTATAGGACATATTTTTGATAGTAAGACTAAAGTTTACGAAATTTTTAACAAATACCCATCATATTTAGAATAAGACAAGCAAAACATATCCGGTTAATAGTCCGTGGAACAGACCCCTTTTTATCAAATTATTAAAATCCGCCTGAAACTTCGTAAATAGCTTCGTCGTAACCTAGAAATGTTTTATTTGCGAGTAATGTGTTGGAATTTGTCTTGGTCAATTCGAATTTTACAGTTTGCAACAATCATTTAGTTTTGTTGATAATGATGTAAAGTCGTGTGTAGAAATTTTTAGACTTGTTAAACGAGGCTGTAATAGTTTGGAATATCGTGTGTGTACATGTTATTATTTTAATTATCTAGTTGTTCATTTTAGACATATTACATCATTTGTTGTTATATCAATATTGTTTAGATAAATAGTAATTCATCATCGCGATGAATAACATTCAATAACTAATTCGTAATTAAAAAATAGTTTATTATCTAAACACTAATTGGCAAAGCCAGCACATGTAAATACAACATATAAATATGAATACATCTGTATTTAATAAACATTACTAAATATATTATAATTATTTCAATTTGTGTACACTTTGTACGTATTAAATTAAAAAAAATAATTCATGGATTATAAAATCCTTTACAGTCCTAGGTATAAATTAAACTATAACTTCTTTTATTATCGTTTTAATAAAATTATATACTTTAATAAACCTCCCTTTATTATATTTTTCTGCCATTCCTTACATAATTACATATTAAAAACTTCCGATGAAAATATTTCATTGTTAATTTACTATTCGCAGTTATGGGTCAGGATAATTAAAATGCTTCTTTCGATGAAACAACAATTTAATAAATAAAATTATTTTCAAGAATAATGTTAAAGTTATAAATGGCTTTTGCAATTTCGTTTGTTCTTGTACGTAAAAAAACTAAGGTGTGTGCTTTCGGACACACGGAAGAGGTGAGAAAATCATCAAGGCGAGGTTAATATTATGAAATATAAATTATAAATAAAAGATTATAAAGAGGATGAAATGTTGAACATTTCCCTCTCTTACAGTATGCAGGTCCGAATTTTAGTTTCTGAGATATTTTAATCCATATCTTCAATAAAACTCGTCATCATTTGATTTTTGACACTATTTTTTTTTTCCTATTTCGCCTCTCTAAAACGACGTCGCGTTAAGATACTATTTTGAATAATAGCTCATTAGAAAGAGGATGAAATGGGGGTATTTCCAAAAATATTTTAAATAGTCGACTCCAGCAGACTTTACCCAAGCGTTACGAATCGAACGTCTGACGGCTCACAAAGAAGTGCAAAACGCACCTAAAGAAGTTTTCACTTAAAAAAAAAATGAATCATTCAAGTTGATTTGTTGAAAACAGTAATTGGGCTTAAATTATAGTTATAATTTGTATTAAATGAATTAGATATGATTATAATGAGTATTTTGTTTCAGCAGCTATGAATAAATGTCATTTTTTATTTAGGCTTTTTAGCGAAATCGGCAGAACTTTAAAATAACGATTTTTAAAAATAATTGTTCTATAAAACGGTTACTTGAAAAGTCGCATGGTAAAAGTTATAGTTCCTTTTTACAATTTATTAAAATAAAGTTCCTTTAAGCCCTGGTAATAACATCGAAATATTTGAGCGAAAAATCCTCCACACGATAACCGAGGATCAGAGTACTAACGCATGAAGTAAAAAGGATCAACATGATATAAAGGCAATGAGATTAAGATGGGCGGGATATATAGCTCGGAAACATCACTTTATACAATCGATTTCAAAATTTGGCTCTAATGATTTTGACTAAACCCGTTATATTGTAGTAGAAATGACCGAAAATTGTAGAAAATAATTTATTTTTTCAAATAAAAACGGGAAAATAGTGTTTCAACATTCATTTTCAAGACCTATTTAGGATTAAACGTTTAATAATTAAGTTGTCTAGAACCCA